CAATCGACTGTATGGGTCTTCCAAGACGAGTCAAATCCAACAAAAGTTGTTCGCGGAAGAAGCACATCGAAGCAAATGGTTTCTTCGGCATTACCGGTCACGTGGCGACAGTGGCGTTAGAGCACCGTAGGACGGTCAATTCTGAATGGTACACGACCATTTGTTTGTCAGAAGTCATCGGAGAAATTCAAGAAAAGCAGAAGAAGAGGCGAATCATTCTTCATCATGACAATGCGAGCTCTCACACATCGGGTCAAACAAAAAAATTTTTGACCGGCCAAAACATCGAATTGATGGGTCATCCGCCGTACAGCCCTGATTTGGCACCCAATGACTTTTTTTTTGTTCTCGCACATCAAAAATAAATTACGTGGTCAACGATTTTCGACACCCGAAGAAGCGGTTGATGCATTCAAAACGCATGTTTTGCAGTTACCTCAATCGGAGTGGAAAAAGTGCTTCGAAAATTGGTTCAAACGCATGCAAAAGTGTATTGATCATCATGGAGAATATTTTGAAAAACAATAAAACCAATTTCGATCATAAATATTTGTTTTTTCATTATTAGGCCAGAAATATAAGTAGCAACCCTCGTACCTAAGGTGTTGAAGCACGTAAACCTTGTGGCATGTCGATTATTCTCTTTCGTCTCGTTTAAATTTATAGCTCATTTCTCTGGAACGAATAAAGATACCGACGAAACACAAAAACACACCTCATGAGTAATCCGTTCTGTAGAAATTAGTGGTTTATTATGATATGATTAATGCACCTTCGTTAACTAAGGCTTGAAAGATAGTGAACATTGTGTAATGTCGATTTTCTCTTTCGTATATGGCTTACTAGAATATGGCTTATTTCTCTGCAACACCTTGATCGGTATTAACCGTAATGTATTAACCGTATCATCCTAAACTACTAATTTTAACACAAGTTCTAAAGATTGTAATACTTTTCGAATGATGTCAATATCTTTAGCGATTGCCAAGGAAAAAGTCATAAACTCTGTCGTCTCGTGCGCAAATAGGAATGCCGCAACATACACGCATTGCCGCACTATAATTAGCGAAAGTGTATTAATCGTATCATTATAAATTACTATTTCCAATAGAAAAGAGTACGGATAAGTTAATGTTTTCTTAATAAAATCAATATCTGTAACCGTTGCTGAGATTTCGGCGATTATGTATAGCGAAAAATTATTCGACGGCAAGTTTGACACCAAACATGAGCGCCGGAGCCTTTTTTATCGCGCGTTATCATCTCATGGATTATTGCTACCGGCAAAGTTCGTTAACTGACGGCGTGTATTGCAGTGTGTTCTCTCACTTCCTCCAATATAATGATACGATTGATATACGTTTCGCTAATTATGGCGTAGAATTATGTATATGTTGTGGCATTCCGATTATTCTCGTGCGACAGTTTATGGTTTTTTCTCTGCAACCGCTAAAGTTGTCGACGTCATTCGAGAAGCTTTATTATAGTATAAAATAATTC